ATTTTTACTTGTCCACTATTACATTTTCATTTTTACTTGTCCACTATACTAAATCAAATAAAGACAATCTTTTTTTCTTGTTTTACCCTTATCATTAATTACTCTATTTCCAAATTATTTCCCAGGACTTTTGAAAATACTATCATTATTATGGGTAAAATCATAAAATATATATTTTTTTAAAGGGAGTGTAAATGAAAATTAGATAACTAAAAGTGAACGGAGGGAGTAGTATATAATAATAAGTGATTTTTCATATTAAGTCTGATATGAAAAAGTTAAAAAAATTAGATTATAACCTAATATAATCAGTTAAATTGTATAGTATAAATTTTTTTTAAAATGTTTATCGCTACATATAACTTGTTACATTACGGTCTCAATGATGCAAATATATAGCCGAAATTCATTATTAACCTCATTATAATATTAATAAAAAAAACTCATTATAATAAAGTAAGAAGTTGTTATTATTAAATTGGGTGCGGAAGTTGAATGATGCAATTGATACGTACTTGGACAGTAACGCATAGAAGTTATAAATGAGTCATGAATTTACATTTAAACAATGGCTAGTCGGTTATATAGTACTCCTTCCGGTCCAAAATAAGTGATTTTTTGGCATTTTTCTTGTGGTTCAAAATAAGTGATTTTTCCAGATTTCAAGAATGAATTAATTACTTTTTTCCTACATTGTCCTTGGAGTAAATAATGTTGGAATATGTGTCAGGAGTGTTTATGTGAGATAGTAAAGGTTAATATGATCAATTCTATTGCTAATTAATGCTAAAAGGTGGTTTTTTTTTAATCTGTGTGAAAACATTCAAAAAATCACTTATTTTGGACCGGAGGGAGTATGTCCTTAAAGAAAAAAAATTAACCACGATATATAGTTTCAAGGTCCTCCCTCCATCATAAATTTCTTTTAATTAATTTCAGTGCACGTGCAGAATGTAACCGAGCCCGTGACAGGATGAGTGTCCTCTTTTCCGAAACGTTGATGACAAGATATGGCTGAAATACCAATCTCCTTTACTCCTCTTACCCCCACCCCATATAGTAAATAAAAAATTCTTACCCGTTTGGACGAAAAGTATAATTTTTGTTTTATGTGATTGTTCCGTCTAGTTTTGGATAATTTGTTTTGAGAAAATTGTTTTCTGGGTTGAAGATCAAAATGTCTGGTTTTAATGTGTAACAGATGTAAAACACTAGCAAATACTGGTCGCTCATCCTGCGTCTGCAATGAGAAGATGGATAATTAGGATTGTTCAAATGGAAAAAAACAATATTTCAACCTACAATGATTCAAGTGGAGACTGGAGAAGAATTAGAGACTGGATAAAGGATAAATTGGCAAGAGTCATGACTCCCCAGGATAATATGGGCTGGCTAACGAGGAAAGAATATTGTCAAAATAGCACCGTATAGCCAGTTTTCGGACTAGTCATTCAAAAATAGTCAGCGTTTACCAAGTCAATGAAAAATAGCCACTATTTTATTGCAACAGAGACCGGTCCAGCAGAATATACTGGAGTTCGGTGCACCTGTATATGAACTCCAGCATATTATGCTGGACCGGTATACATTTGCTGGCTCCAGTATAACATACTGGAGACTGGAGCACCGGTGCTCCAAACTCCAGTATATTATGCTGGACCGGTATACTTGCTGGAACTCCAGTATATTATGCTGGAGTTCTAGTGTACTTATGCTGGAACTCCAGTATATTATGCTGGAACTCCAGTATATTATGCTGGAGTCCCAGCATACTTATCCTGGAACTCCAGTATAATATGCTGGAGTTTAAGTATATCTATGCTGGAACTCCAGCATAATATACTGGCGTATTTTCCGGGTTTTGAACAGTGTTTTCGCTCAGATTTATCTTTACATGAAAAGTGGCTAAATTTCGATTACTTTTGAAACTGGGCTATTTTTGAACGACCAGTTGTAAATCTGACTATTTTTAAATTTCTCCCAAGAATATTCGGTAAGATGATTTAAAAGTCCACATTAATTTTTCATCCAAAAAGTGAAGTAATCTAACTAGGGGTGGCAAATGGCGGGTTGGGCTGAATTTGGGCGGGTCAAGATGGGTTAGGACAATAAATGGGTCATTACCCAACCCAGCCCAAAGTGTACCTGGGCTAAGATGGGCTGGGTCAAGATGGGCTAAACAATGGGTCATAACCCAACCCGCCCAACTTGACCCATGTTTTAGAACCATGCTCATCTTGCATAAAAAAGCATTTTACTTTAAAATATGTAAGTTGAAAAATATTTTACGGAAGGGGGTGGGGGTGGGAGTGGGGGAGGGGGGGTTAGGGTGGGTGGGTGGTGCGGAAAAACGAATAAACAGAAAACAGAAAATTGAAAATACAAAAAAAAAAGGTAAAAAAAAAAATTTTTTAGGGGCTTTGCGCGCGGGGTGTGTGTGGTGGGTGGGTGGGATGGGAGAGGGGGTGGGTGGGGGTGCAGAAAAACAAAAAAAATAGAAAATTAAAAATACAAAAAAAAAAAGCAAAAAATTTTTTTTGAGGGTGTTTGCGTCGCGGGGGGAGGTAATGGGGGTAGGGTGGGTGGTGCAGAAAATTGAAAATACAAAAAAGAAAAAAAAACTCGAGGGAGTTTGTGTGGGGGGGGGGGGGTTTAGGTAGGGTGGGTAAGTAGTGCAGAAATACAAAAAAATAGAAAATTAAAAATACAAAAAAAATCTAAAAAACATTTTTTAGGGGGTTTGGGGGGGGGGTAGGGTAGGTGGTGCAAAAATACAAAAGAACAGAAAATTGAAAGTACAAAAAAAAAAAAAAAAAAATGGGGCAACTAAGTAAATTTTTGGATAAGTTGGGTTGAAATCCCTTTGTTTTGAGTGAGTTTCATGGGTTGTAGTTGGGCTGCTTAATGGGTCAGAATGGACTATAAAAAATATAGGTTAACTTGGTTCAGCCCAAATTGACCCATGAGCTAATATGTTTGTAGCCCAACCCATTAATCTCTGGGCGGGTTGGATGGGTTTGGGCTCAAATTGCCACCCCTAAATCTAACTTACAGCTTGTTTGGATGGTTGTTACTCATTGTATTGTATTGTTATTTTAAAATAATGTTTGTTTGGTTGTTTAGTTAAAATTGATTGTATTGTATTGTTAAATTCATCGTTCCGGAACAATGAAAAGACCCATTTTTTTTGGAGCACCAATTTGGTATGGTGGGATTGTTTCATATTTTTCTTTTCAATTATGCCCTTCTTTATTACTCCATAATTCTATTTTACCATTTACCTTTTTTTCATTTTAACTCCAAATCTCCCACCTATAACCTACTTAGTCTTCCTCCCATTTTTCCCAAACTGGTTCTGTCGTTCTTTGCCAACAATAGGTTCTGCATTCTTACCTAATTTGTCTTCATTCATTTCCATGGTCATTATTTACTTTTCTTAATATTATTGTTATGATCAAATTATGAATAGAGTGTACTTATTATTATTAATAATATTACTTACTTAGCTTGTTCCATTAATTTTGTTAGAATTTACATGAAGTTAACTGATTAATCTATTTATAAGACATAATTGGTGATAAATTAGTAGAAAGGTTTTTTTTTAAATTATTTTTATGTGCAATTTTCGATAAATTTAATATTTAAAACAATTGAAGGTATTTAAGGAAATTTATCGGTTACACACAGTACAATACAGTCAAACCAAAGAGAACATATTATTTAACAACAACAAACAATACAATCTATCCAAACATTGTATTCACAAAAAGATACAATATAATACAATACAATACGATACATTATAAAACATGGGTAACAATGATCCAAACGGAGTGTTAAAGTCCGTTGTTATGCCTAAGTCACAAGTTTGATAAATGGGAGTAGAAAAAGTAAAATAAACGAAGTAATAACAACCATATTAAAAGTAACTTCACTATAATATAACACAAATTTTTGTTTTAGTATAGCACAAATGCACTATAGCTACGTTTAAAAGCTTCAATTGTTTCAATCAAAAAGTGGTGCTTGAGAAAATTTCAAAGCAGAAAGTTACTATTTTGAAAATAAGGAGTTCCCGAGCAATATAAGGAAGCATACATAGTAGTTGACTACAGGAAGGGAAATTTCCTTTGACAGCTTGCGAAACTTACTTCGGCCAATCGGATCATATTCAAAGGACCCGATGCACAAAGCATCACGCATTCGCAGAAGAGCCGCACCCAAGGGGTGTGATGTAGACGTCCTATCCCGATGCAAGCATTAGTGAACGCTTTCACGGCTCGAACCCATAACTTATAGGTCACACGGTGACAACTTTAACATTGTTCCAAGGCTCCAGGATCATATTAAAAAAGGAGAAGAAACCCACCCATCCACGCATCCATCCCTTCTAGAGGATTTGTGCAGAAGAGCGAGCATGCTTCTTAATTCTTTTCATAGAAAAACACACCACGAGTGCAATGCATGCGGCAAGTAGTTGCCTGCTACTTCTACTAGTCTTATTTTTATTTTTAGTTTATTTATTTATTTGGCTAAACTTTTACCAAGTCAATAAGGAGATTAACACCCAAAAATTAACAGGCAAGGAACATGACGGATGATCTATGGATTTCTTATGAGCAAACTGCACTACTCCACACGCTATTTATGCTATAAAGAAAATGATGTGAATAGATCCACCAGGGGAGAATGGCTCTTTTAATTAGGCTTCAGGATCTTGACGGTTGAGTATTAAACACGAAAAAGGCTGACCATCCAAGTCCAACAATTAGTAAAAAAAAAAAATTCTATCTTCCTATCCCGAAAGTGATGACTTGAAGTTTTTCTAAGTTCTCTACCACGGCTGAGATGGGTTAATTAACTTTTCCATATTATTTACTGTTAACATGGTAGAATATCACAGGCTGAAAATTTACCAGCATAATATTTACTCCTATTAGCTAATGAAATATCGTATGAAGAAGATGCAACGATCTAACTAGCCAACTTTAATTCAAAAATTAAAACATCATACTCTTTTTGCTAGTAATTATTTACGTAATCCCAATGCATTACATATTTTTATGGGTGCTGAGTCTGCTGACATCCCCTTGGAAAATAATGCAATCACCTCAAGTCTGTGTATTGCAGCAACAACACAGATTTGGCTTCTATGTAATGCTCAGTCTGGAATTTCCTAATAATAGTAATGGAAAATCGAATTGCAAACTACACATCCTATATTGGCTGAGGAAAGATAGAAGTAACAATTATGCATTTTTACTGTTTGTCAAATCATAGGACCTTGATTCAGCGGATTATAAATTGTCACTGTGTACCTTCAATCTATAATGATAGTGTTAAAATGCTTTCTCTTTCGCCTCCTTGCTTTCCTTAATATGCGTGCACTCTCTTCCTTTGCATCCTCTAATGGATAAATCCCTGTGCCTTTTAAAAGAAAGACAGTTTAAGCACTAAAATCTATACCAAACGACAATTAAGAAAGACATGAATGATTGTTTGTCTTTCTTTTTTCTTCAAAAACTTCCTGCTGCAGTTATGATGCTCAAAATTTCTTATTTCAGGACAGACTCGAAATGTGATGCTTTCAGAGAAAGAGAGAGACCCCTCAGGACACAAAACTTGAGAACAGGTTCAATTCCCTTCCTTAGCCCAACTGACAAAGGGAAGAGAGGGTTATCAGTTTCTCTTTGGTTTGAGAAAAACTTAATAGTGTGGCAGTATAATAAAGTTGCTTCAAGCTTTTAGACATGTTCTTTCTTGTTACTTTATTTATTTGATTTCATATTATAATCTTAGGCATTCGGCTTGATTAAAAGTACCCAAAGGTCATTCTTGTCTGTGGTGAGTCTTGAGATATAGGATATAATTTGACATGCGTCTAAATTGATCTGTCTAAATTCGTTAAGTTCAAATGTACAATACAGTTTTAGGTCAATAAACACATTGATTAATTACAGGATGCAGAAATCACTCTGCTTATCAAATTGCATTATGGTGAAATCCTCAAATGAATGATGCAGCCAAGAAGTGCAATTACCTGATCCATTTTCTTCAAGCAAGCAGGAAAAGCCTGTGTCAATATCCTCATCAGATTCAATGGTAACTCCAAATTCCCTTTCCTGAAATGGATAGCCAGTTGTCAGCTCTCAGAATATAGGTGATGCAGTTTCAAGTTTTCAAATATGTGGTGTGCTAAACAAAGCATTTTTGTTAACTTCAACACAAGGCCTCAGAGATGGTGGACTATGACATATCACAAATACAACATTTCAAAACCTATTGTTTCTTGTTTGGATGTTTTCATGTCACAATGATAACCACTATTGCTCACAAGTCAACAAGCAATTTGTTTGCATATGGACAATGAGATATTTACCTGTTGAAATGATTTATTCTGTTTGTGACTTCTGCTGGAAATTTTCTGCTTCACACAAGTTTGGTCATGTTTCACTGTTTTCCAGCCTCCTGTTTCAGTCTTCGGCAACATAGTTGTTTTCTGATCTTTGATATTCATTGTTGAACTAGAAGTGAAAAGACATGCTTGGTGACTTGCATTCCCAGCAATAAGGAATATCGCACAATTTCAGAAAGATAAGCAAAACTTTGTAAACAAAATATCTTTAAGATTTCTTTTGAAGCTATAGCAAAGTTCTTAGGAGGTTTCTTCATTCATTTAGTTTATCACGAATGCTAACTTGGATTAAAGCTTTTGGGGATGAAGGGGAGTGCTGCCCTTTGTTTTCACTTTCTTCTTCGTATAGCTAATGTGAGAAATGGGGATACTTTCTGGTTTTACATGGATCAAAAGACACTATGAGACAAATCTTCACAATTAACCGCCACCTAACTAGTTCTTGATGATAGAGAGTGTATCCCAGCCGCAAGTGTTCTCGAGTGTCAAACTGTCAATACACACATCTCAAGAAGCATTGCAAAATGCCTACTGCTTATGCATATTGCACATAAATGATGCAAATAGTAAGAGAAGCCATCAAATGATTATGAAAATTGTATACTGGAGGGCTACTGATTTGTTGCTACTTAGAGATGTCTAAATTAAGGCTGTAGTGATGCCACTGGGAAGAAAGATAAAAGGAAGAAAGTTTGAAAACTTACTTCTTGAGAAACTTCACTTCAGGGGGAGGGAAACAATCATTGATACCCTACAAATGTTCAAATGCACTAAGATTTGTGATAGATTTTGTCATTACTCTAAATACTCATAAAGGTCTTAAGGAATTCGGAGAATAAAGTTCTTGAAAATGTACTTTCGGTTGAACGGCCAGAGCAGTTTCATGTTTTTGTCCGGGACAATCTGGGTGGAGGGAAGCTGTCTGCAAGCAATAGGAATATAGATGAAGCAGCATAAACCCAACTACAGATGGTAGCTTAAATATGAACTTAAACAGTCAGTTTCAATATGCGACATGCCTGAATCTCTTTAGCCAAGGTCTTGCTCAAGTCCATTTGCAGTTGCAAAATGCACGTCTCCAGTTTGTTGGGCATAGCTCTAACCAGTGATGAAAGATCCCCTATGTTCTCTTGATATTTATTCTCCCTCAGCTCTTCAAGCATGGATTTGAAGGTCTCTTCCATGCTAGCTTTCAGATCTTCCCTCCCCTTGTTCTGGTTATTGCATGTCACATGGATTAGGAAATATTATACAAACAAATCTGGACGTAAGGAGAGCAGCTAAGCTATAGTTACCATTAATTGCAACAGTTCATCATGAGCTGCTAACTTCGGCCGTAAGCTTTCCACTGAAAGAAAATTTAGAAGAAAAACTAATGCGTGAGAATTTGTTGACATCCTGCAGATATATTTGCAAGTAACAATTTACTAGGACCAGCAGGCATCTCAAGACAAATTTCCATACTCTTCAACTAATGATATGGGCTCTTTGGAGCTCCTAACTATTCAGCCACATCAGGTAAATTGAAAAGGCAGTGAATACTCACTCTCCATCAATATCTCTTTCGTTCCCCGGTTAACTTGCATAATATCACTCTGAACAGAATCTAAGATCATTCCTAGCCTGCTTAATGAAGTCTCTACCATTCCAATTTTGTGTTCAAGTTCTTCAGTAATCTGGGCTGTTCAGCAAAATTAGAATTCATAAACATGTTTAGTCCAATGATTCTAGCTGCAGATTAGTCCGCCAAACTTACATTTTCCTTAGATCTTAAATGGAAGGTGAGAGCATATATTTAGTGGAGGTGGAATTATGACTTACATTTGTTTTCAGGAACTGACCACTTGCGCATATAATTGCCTGAAGGTTTAGATAGCTGCATTTGACTCTCTTCTCGTGTGTAGTTGATTTGAGGCAAACAGCTTATCCTCTTTGCTGAATTTTCTCTTTCTTGAGAACCCAATCTCTGCATTAAAATTATCAATAGTAACACCTTATTGTTCGCTCTGAGACGTAAAATTCCCACAACAGCATCTTGTTTGGTATAAGGTGAGTAAAATTTGCAATGTATAAAGTGGAAAGTTTCGTGGAACTCTGTGTCCTGGGCAGAATTGAAACCAAGAAAGCATATGCTCAACATAAAAGACAGACTCCATCAGTTAACTAGTTGTATACGAACTCTGATACGCTCTACAACCTAACTGCCGACAACCACTTCATAGTGCAGTGTGACGATCCCCTGTTTTGTCATGTAGTAATAAGAAACATTCTGACAAACAAAGTCGGCTGACATAATTGATGATCCGCTGTCCAATAAAATGAAGGATGGTAAATGATACCTTTATGTGACACTCTTCCAATTTAAGGACGTTCCATAGTATTGACATCAGTCATTTGTTATGCAACTTTCAGAGCTGTTCAAATTTAAAACTTAACTTTAATGCTTTCTTCACCTATCACTAATATAATAATAAATCAAATTAACATCTTGAATAAAAACGTCAGATAAAGTTAGTATCATGTACTCACACAGCATATAACAAAGTAAATCATAGTCAGAAGCTAAATTCATCTATTTTAAGAATCACAAAGCATAAATGCAAATTACACTCAAAAATAACCGAGGCAACAGTTATCCAGGATATGATAGGTTCAAGTCTTGTGAAGCATCAAACCACATTTCAGACAATCTAAAGTATTCTCTAGAAGTTACAACGATTTTTAAAAGTCAATCATTATCATTTCCGCAATGAATCAATTGCTTGGTATGTTACCATTAGTTAGCAGCCGAAGTATACCAAAATGACATCTCATTAACAACTATAATTCGTACAACTGAGAGATAGGAACGAGATGGAGGAATTACTTGCTCATTAGGGGCAAATTCATCCAGAGAGCTCTGCGATAGCTGAGAGTACATCGGTTGCTGAGATGAAAATCCCTGTGAGAAGGATTGTTGTGATTGCTGCTGTGACCGAATCTGTGAGAAGGATTGTTGTGATTGCTGCTGTGATCGAACTTGTGACGCTTGGCTTTTCCCGAAGACGGAAGACTCTGCTGCACTTGGTACTGCACTTGGCCTCCTTCTCATATCATCAAACAAGGCTCAATATTATGGTAAAATTCTCTCTCTCACTCTCTCTCTCTCTCTCTCTCTCTCCATACTTATACATATATAGCTGTGTGTGTGTGTGTGTGTGTGCGTGTGTGTGACATAGAAATATCTGTAATGTATGCGGAAAAAACTCTGAAACACGAAGACATAGGCCAAAACAGATATCGGCATCGAAATTGGCCTTCTTCTCAATCATCACAACAAATAGCTCAATATTATGGTAAATTTTCGACCTCTCTTTATTCGTACAAACATATAATGCATACATATTTATATGTGTTTGTGTATATATATAGCACACACAAACATCGAGATATCTGTAACGTATTCGAAGAAAAAGCAAACACAGAGAGGTATTGTGCTTGATTCCTACTCAAATCTTCACGAAAAAGCTCAATCCATATATAATATATTCATGTGTGTGTTTGTGCGTGTGTGTCGCACACAAAACATTCAAATATTTGTAAGCATTCGAAGAAAACGCAGAAACACTGAGCGTTAGGCAATTTTCCTGATAAACAATGAAAAGAGATGAAATTGAGATAGAATTGGACCTTGCATGAGGAGGAAGAACAGAGATAGAGCTGAGATCGGAGGCTTTGTTAATCTTCAACTTCATTTTGCCGATACTCACTGGAAAAGTTGTGAGATCTTCGAGAATTTTTAGCTTCAATTTGGAAATTATGGAATAACTGATGAAAATATCGATTGAAACTTGAAAATTATTTGAATTCTCAGAGCGCTTTGAAGTTACTTTTGTGTGATTTTGCTCCAGTTGGAGGAAGTGTGATCTGCGCTGATAATCCAGCGGGAAAGTGTCATTTTATATAGGGTAATAGATGGGCCTATTCTATGACTTCTAAAATTATTTGGGCCCTGTAAACGTGGCCCAATCATTTCGTCTGATCATTAGACGTAAAAATAGCACGATATAGCCAGTTTTCGGACTGGTCAATCAAAAATAGCCAGCGTTTACCAAGTCAATGAAAAATAGCCAATATTTTGCTGCAATAGAGATCGGTCCAGCATAATATACTGGAGTTCGGTGCACTTGTGTATGAACTCCAGCATATTATGCTGGACCGGTATACTTTGCTGGCTCCAGTATAATATACTGGAGACTGGAGCACCGGTGCTCCAAACTCCAGTATATTATACTGGACCAATATACTTGTTGGAACTCCAGTATATTATGCTGGAGTTCTAATGTACTTATGCTGGAACTCCGTCATATTATGCTGGAGTTCCAGCATACTTATTCTGGAACTCCAGTATAATATGCTAGAACTCCAACATAATATACTGGAGTATTTTCCGGGTTTTGAACAGTGTTTTCGCTCAGATTTATCTTTATATAAAAAGTGGCCAAACTTCGATTACTTTTGAAATTGGCTATTTTTGAACGACCAGTTGTAAATCTGGCTATTTTTAAAATTTACCCTCATTAGACCCGTTTAGTTTAGACAATTTTTCAGAAATCTTCTCAAGAAAGCGAAAACAGAAGCTGTTCAAATTTATATATACATGCATATTATAAATAATATATTAACAAAAATGCTTTCCAACATCAAACTAAAAAATTAACTCAAAATCAGAGTTTGTGTTCCAAGACCATGTCGAATATCATTTAATTTTTTGGAAAAAATATAAACTGAACAAAAATAAGCCATAGACGTTGAAGCTATTGTCTAGTGGTGTATATGGACCGGGTTAGTACGGTCTTTATCAGAACCAAACCAAACCAATTATATATGTTTGGATTAGTTCGGTTTTTTGTCGGGGTTTTCGGATTTTTTGTTACTTACATATTATTTCAATCTTACTTTGTCAAATATTTGATAAGTAAATATATATTTAGCAAAAGTATAAAAAAAATTGACAAACATATTATCAATTAAAATATTCTTGTTGGAGAATTCTATTAGTAACACTGAATAGCTATTTTTTTAGTCGTCTGGTATTAATTTTTCGTTGATATACACTTTCAGATTAACTGAATTAAGTAATTAAGCATAAAAATCAATATGATACCTAAATATTGATAATCACTTCACATTCGAAAAAGATAATAAGAACTTAATAGATCTTAACATATGATATGAATATGGAAGAACAAAGAGATAGATGAAGTGATCATACAACCTGTTATTTAAAGTCAATAATATGGAGCACTTCATATTCTATTAAAATTTATATCCCGCAAGAGAATCCTAAATATTTTTAGATATTTTTTAAAGAAAATTTTATATAAAATCTTAAAATTATATATTTATTTGTCGGGTTGGTTCGGATTTTTTTACTCAATACCAAACCAAAGTCAGGTTTTTTTATCGGTTTGATTTGACTTTTCGGTTTGGTACGATTTTTCGGTTCGGTTTGTACACCCCTACTATTGTCCATTATTAGTCACACCAAGTTAAATGTACGTGTTACCGCGCGCTGTGGCTTCAAAATTTGGGCAAATTCCAAATTTTATGATATGGTATTTGAACGTTACCCATTTACTAGTGCAAAAATATTTACATGGACAAAGAGTTATTTATTTATTTATTTACATCAACAGAGATTGTTCCCCACTTATCGAATTTCACTGCTTTTGTTATCGACATAGATTGTTAGTCCAAAATAAGATGTACTTTTACTTGATGATTACTAGTAATATAACCGTGAAATATAAACATATCTCAATGGTAATTGTTTGTGATAAAGCTTTATTTGGATTTGGAGTTGGATATGTGTATTAAAGACACTATAATGCAACTAATTTACAGCCAATGGGCCTGGTGATTGATCAGTATTTGATCGACTTTGATTGAGAATTAAATATAGGAATTTTTACTTCCTATAGAATAGGTTAACCCCCTATTTATTTAAAATAAATACCATTTCAATAAATTACATCCTATAGATATGTTATATGATTTGTAGCAAAAATTCTAATTTTGGGTATCTCCTACGCTTAAGCCATTATACACGCTATGTTTAATTTTACCATCTCCATTCTCAGATTCTCTCTCTCATAGATACCTTTTTACATACAACTTCTCAATACAAGTTTTCCCCCTTCTCTCTAAATTGATACTTCCAAATCCCCTGTAATCGCGGTTAAAATTATATTGTTCTCATTCGCTCTCATTCACAGCTTCCTCCTTCCCCAATCTCGGGTAAACCCTAACGCATATTTTTGTTTTTTGATTTTTCGCCATTTTTGCTTGTTCTCAACCTCTCGACTAACCAAATTGTATCTAATCAACAGTACCCAAGTCGTATTGTTACAATGTCTGAGAATACACCCCACAAGTTGATTACTAGAGGTATACCCACTAAACTTCTCAATTTCGATGGGCCCTCTTTCTCCTTGCAAATCACTCAAGGTGAATTCGACGCAGGTTTAGCCAAAGATATTGATTTGGAGAAGAGAACAAAAGCTCGACATGATAAAGTCGAGAAATCAACGAAGGAGACAACACTTCCCATTCGGGAAAAAAGGAAAAACGATATCTCTGAAGCTTCATCTGTCAAGGGGAAGGAGGTTGAAGAATTGAAAACCTCAGATAAAGTTGAAGAAAAGGTAATTTTCTGATGAAATTCAATTGTATTATTCATGTATTCAGTTGTATTTATATGTATTCTGATGTATTTTTATAGTTGTCTTTTTAAGTTTCTTTCAAGGTTCCCATCACTGTTTTTTCTTTCAATTTCATTGTATTTATTTGTTGTTTTCAACAGTTAAAAGTTCCATTCTGTATTTAGTTGTATTCATATGTATAATAAATTAATGTCATTTGTGTTGTATCTAGTTATTTTATATGTAATTAGCCTTGTCAGTGTATTTAGTTGTATTTATATATTTTTATTCATGTCAAATGCAGGGAATTAAGTTTTTTGTCAAACAGCAGCCAAAATTTGCACCCCATATCAGTGTGTATACTAACACTGATATAGTCTCCGATATAAAAGAGAACCTTACTCCTGTTCAGTACCAACAACTTGGTAATACTTGCTTTGGAAATTTTCTTCAAATGAAGCGTTGTGAAGTCCAACATCAACTCTTCAGATGCTTCATGGCTCTCCAGGTAGAAGGTACTCCTAACAATGTATTTGCAATACACGTCAACGGTACTTCATTACATTTCTCATTAAAGGAGTTTGCGCTTGTTACTGGCCTCAAATGTGTTGGTAATGATGCTGATTTTGAGTTTAGTGAAAAGGTTCCTAACCGGCTTATTGAGAAGTACTTTGGAGGTGCTAATCTTGTCAAGAAGAAACATTTGATGAAATGCTTTGCTGAGAAGAGCTAGGGTCCCGACAATGATGTTGATGCCTTGAAGATATCTTTGTTGTATTTCATACACACCTTCATTTTTTCATCCGAGAAAAACAGTACAACCATACCAAGGCTACATTTTGACTTGGTAGAGAGTGGGCGCTATTCTGAATATCATTGGGGTTTAAAAGCATTTGAGATGTTGACAAAATCGATTAGCAAGAAGATGGATGCTGTGAAGAAGTATTACAGGATAGCTGGGATGCCCCTAGCTATGTAAGTGTGGTTTTATGAGTGTTGTTCTTCTGTTGATTCCAAAATTGCACTCCGAGTTGATGACGTGGTCCCTAGAATACTCAATTGGAGAACCACCAGAAATCAGCCAACCTTTTCTTATCTGATGAACGGCATGTTCAATGACACCGGAAACATGGTAATATACAAATTGTCTCACTGCTAGTTTAGATTTTATTAATAATTAATAGGCATATGTTTGCATATAGAAGTATGCAGTTGCATTCTCATACATTTTTTATGCTTCAATACCTGCTGTAGTTTCTGCATTCAGTTGCAAAATACATTTATATACAAATACATACAGATAGAAATACTTGTATTATTAGCTGCAAGAAGATATTGATGCAGACAGCTGTATACATTTGGATACTAATGCTTACAGAAATAAATACTTGCATATAGATTCAAGATACATGTATACAAATGCATATGGACTAATAATCAGCTGCATAAACTTGTATACAAATCCATACAGATTCTGCATACAGTTGAATACATCTACTGCCTGCAATAATATTCATATGCAAACTTGTTTTCCAGATCTGCATTTGGAAGATTTTAGTTAGACTTTTATTATATTTATTTTTTCAGATTGTTTTCAAGGACATCAGTCCAAGCGATATAGAGCTAGCCGTTATTCAGATTCCTCCTGTAGCCGCCGATGTTGAGAACAAACCTACTCTTGCTCATTCAGACAAATCGGGAGAGGATTTGGATGACTTTTCTCCGACACCCGATCTTCCATGTAAGAAGAAACATGTTGCAATTGTTAGTCCATCTTCATCACCGCCCCATAAAAAGCGTAAGGAACACGAAAGGCATCATAATGAAACAGAATATCATCCCAACATTCCTCCTGTTTGTGTTTCCGAAATTGGACATAAAGTTTTGCATGACCATCAGCTGCCACAAGGCCAAAATGACGAAGTATCTTCTTTGAGGAAAGACCTGTATTCATTCAAAGAATATGTGAGTATTTAACCATAGATTAAACATTACAGTTTAATGCTTAGCATTCATATATTTTTTCCGCAATCTTCTAACTGTTTTTGTATTGTTAAGGTTATGGGAGAGTTCAAGTCTCTAACAACATTGATCAATGATAACTTCAAGAAGCTTTCAGACCATATTCAACAAAATCAGCAAAATGAACCCATAGGGAGACGTGATGATGGCATTCACACAGATGTCGGAGATAATGTTGAGGTTTAACATTCTTAACATATTG